GCATAGCTACCGGCGTCTTGTAAAGCAGAGCCAGCTAAAGAGTCAATAAAGACGAAAACGGAAAGCGGAAATTGTTTCTTTATGCGTTTGTTCTAAAGTATTAAGCTTCGTTAATTGTCATGTCCACAAATTTGGAATATAGAGCAAGAGAAAGACAGAGAAAAAGAGAAATTAGGCGGCAGGCCAGCGAAGCTCAACGAGAAAAAGGGCGACAGAGATCTAGACCGGGAGAGAGAAAAAAAGGAGACATTTTTTGTTGGAAGAACAACATAAAAATTTTGTAGCGGCGGTGACAAAATGAAAAATGCCAGCGGCCACCAATCAAATGCAAGGTGAAAATGAGCGGCAGTGAAACTAAAAGTGAACGAGAACACCTACGACACTTCCTCCATTAAAAGTGTAACTAAGAAGTTTCTGGTAGTTTCCCGTTGTTGCCGTGCTAAACAACGGCAAAGAAATGTACAAAAAAGTGTGCTTCATGTGCAAAGTTGCTTTTTTGCTTATTAGACCTATTGTTGTTTTTCACCGTTCTCCGGTGTTTCCTTCGCCACTTAGCATTACACGATTTTATATTTTGTTTGAACGAACTATAAATATTATCGAGATATTAGATTGTTCCACAAATCCGGTATTTCCTCTCTGATGCCAGTAGTATAGGGCGCACCGGTTAAGCCGTTTTTTTGCGGAGGATTCTCATTAGAGTGCGGAGGAATACATTAACGCCGATGACGTCATAGGCTATTGTCCTCATCTCATGAATAAAATGCGGTGGATTTAATTAAGTATACTGGTTTGACCGGTTTGTCAGGTTCTATTTTTAGCCTGGTTGATATAACTGGTTTATTTTTGTTTTATGACATAACCTATTGTCTTGTATTTTCATTGGTTAGTTCATAGTGCCAGAGGAGTAAAGTCAAACTTGTCTCTGACTTAAAATCACTGAGACGTAACGTAATTATGCAAGTCCTATTTCCTGCTGCTGCGATTGTCCTTGTTCCGGTTCACTGATTTTTGGCAGGCAAATCGTGCATATTAATGAGGGCAAAGGCCAACTAGCTCTTTTTTTTTACACTGCAAACAATGTTTTACTCACCCCTCTCCTTTTCATTTTGTTTACTTTCCTCCTCCTCCACAATTTTATTGTTTTCGTTCCTCAATTTTTTATTCCCTCCTTCAAAATTTCACAATTTGTATTATTTTCCCTCCTCAATCTTAATTTCCCTCCTTCTCCACAATTTTATTATTTCCCCCCCTCTTCCTCCCCCTCCTCCTCACTTCTATTGTTTTCCCTCCTCCACCTCACTTTGATTGTTTTTCCTTTTCCTCCTCATTTTGATTGTTTTGATAGGGTCGATTTGGGGTCGATGTAGGGTCGATGTGGAGTCGATGTGGGGTCGATGTAGGGTCGATGTAGGGTCGATGTGGGGTCGATGTAGGGTCGATGTGGGGTCGATGTAGGGTCGATGTAGGATCGTTATTGTTTTCCCTCCTCCTCCTCCACATTTCTATTGTTTTCCCTCCACCACCACCACCACCACCACCGCCACATTTCTATTGTTTTCCCTCCACCACCACCACCACCGCCACATTTCTATTGTTTTCCCTCCACCACCACCACCACCACCGCCACCACATTTCTATTGTTTTCCCTCCACCACCACCACCACCACCGCCACCACATTTCTATTGTTTTCCCTCCACCACCACCACCACCACCGCCATCACATTTTTCTTGTTTCCCTCCTTGAGTTTGGCCTTTTAGGCCTGATTTTGGCCTCTTTGGCCTTTTGAGGGAAACAAGAAAATTGTGGTGGCGGTGGTGGTGGTGGTGGTGGAGGGAAAACAATAGAAATGTGGTGGCGGTGGTGGTGGTGGTGGTGGAGGGAAAACAATAGAAATGTGGAGGAGGAGGAGGGAAAACAATAACGATCCTACATCGACCCTACATCGACCCCACATCGACCCTACATCGACCCTACATCGACCCCACATCGACCCCACATCGACCCTACATCGACCCCACATCGACCCTATCAAAACAATCAAAATGAGGAGGAAAAGGAAAAACAATCAAAATGAGGTGGAGGAGGGAAAACAATAGAAGTGAGGAGGAGGAGGAGGGGGAGGAAGAGGAGGGAAAATAATACAAATTGTGAAATTTTGGAGGAGGGAATAAAAAATTGAGGAACGAAAACAATAAAATTGTGGAGGAGGAGGAAAGTAAACAAAATGAAAAGGAGAGGGGTGAGTAAAACATTGTTTGCAGTGTAAAAAAAAAAGAGCTAGTTGGCCTTTGCCCTCATTAATATGCACGATTTGCCTGCCAAAAATCAGTGAACCGGAACAAGGACAATCGCAGCAGCAGGAAATAGGACTTGCATAATTACGTTACGTCTCAGTGATTTTAAGTCAGAGACAAGTTTGACTTTACTCCTCTAGCACTATGAACTAACCAATGAAAATACAAGACAATAGGTTATGTCATAAAACAAAAATAAACCAGTTATATCAACCAGGCTAAAAATAGAACCTGACAAACCGGTCAAACCAGTATACTTAATTAAATCCACCGCATTTTATTCATGAGATGAGGACAATAGCCTATGACGTCATCGGCGTTAATGTATTCCTCCGCACTCTAATGAGAATCCTCCGCAAAAAAACGGCCTAACCGGTGCGCCCTATACTACTGATGCCTCTGCCGGATTCTCAGACCCCGTTTACACGGGTCCGGACTAAAATTTATGAACGGACAAAGTTGCATGGATCCGCCTCGGTTCGTTTACACGGGATCCTCGGAACCGTGCAAGTTTTCGAATGGAGAACAGCAGCACTGCAATCTGTAACACGGAATTTGCACGGTTCCGGGTAGGGTTGTACAGGTCATTTCGTCCGATCATTTTGCATTTTTCTAAATTGACCAATTTCCCAATAATCCGACCCACAAATCTTGAATCCACACTGCAGTTCTCCCACGGCATGCACTGGGAAGACGAAAGCTGACCATCAAGGGGCCCGTTTCTCGAAAGCCCGATAGTTAACGGTACGGTAAAGCTGTTGTTGTTTACATGCAAGATAGAAGTTTCAATAGTTTTGCATCTAACATGATAAAACTGTCAGTTAATGAAACAAAGTGGAGTATTTAGCTAGCCTGGACGCGCGTTTTAATTATTTTTATTTCGATTTGAATATTTGACTTCGAGCCCGAAAAATTATCGGGACTTTGGAGAAACGGGCCCCTGCGTGCCAGTAAAGAGACAAACTTAAAAGTAATTAGTCTACTGCTGTATCTAAGTCTTTGCTCTGAACCAATCGCTATTTTCTGTTTAACTTTGCATAATTTCTAATCACGGTGGCCATTCCCGGTGATAAAAATTCAGCGTGGTGTTCAGTGGTCCCCCGCAATTTCGAATATTCGACGTGCGTCTTTTGTTGTAAGAATCTCGAACAAATGCACTTTATTTGAGTGTCAATGTATTTAACACTAAAGCAATATTTGACGACACTATTTTTACGTCTCCTTCTGAAGACGGGAACGCCATTTTACGTGGTCATCCGAGCCACGCGTAGGGTCCAGCCGTTTTCAAGGCAAAGGCTGTAACTTCATTTCTCGGTGACTTCAGTCCTGCCGGTGATTGTTGTTGTTGTTGTTGTTGTTGTGTTGATGTCCTGTTGTTTTGTTTTGTTTTTTTTTTTTTGTAGAAAGCATAACTATGATACTGAACTTCCTGCCGCCAGGCTTACACTGTACTCAAAGAATTATTTTTTTGGGGGGGTCGACCCAAAAAAAAATTAGAAGGGTTTGTATGGGGTTTTCTAAGCATAACTGGGCTACGATCTCAGGGACAATTTGCCCCGAAATGCTCATTTTTGGCAAGTAGGCCTCTGGGACATTGTTCTTTCAGAATATCGGGACAAATATCATAATTTCAGAAATTTCATTTTTATGACGTCACACTTTAGTACTCTATTGCAATGCCTTAACACCAACTGGTCATGTGACCTCAGCGACAATCCGCATTTCACTTATTATTGTTGTTTAGTCAAACAACTGACAGAACCACACAGAGTAATCACATAAGGCGGCCGGGCGACCACTGTAATAACTGAATTCGTTAATCTGTTATTTTAATGCTTTTCTAAGCATGTCTAGATTAAAGTTCTGAATTCTTTGATCTGAGTTACTTGCCTTTGAAACTTCATTAGAGGACTGTGTTTTAAAGAATCAGATGTGGGAATTTGAACTCTTGAATTCCGAGAAAGATTTTATTGAAGTTTTACGATTTGTTACCTTTGTTAATTAAAAATTGGCCGACATTCGCTGCGACAAGGGATTCTTCTCATCCAGTCTTCTCAGTCTTCTTCCTCTTCTTCTAACTTTTGACATTTATGACATTTATTATTTATTATTATTATTATGAGTATAGCTATCATTATTGCCATTATTATTACTAGATTTACTATCAAAACTCATATTTTTTAGTTACTTGACTGAGAGGATCTGAATTGTAATTAAAGTACACTTTGGAAAATTCCGTGACGCTTAGAAGAATTTAGAATGGCGACTACAGGAAGCTTAACCTGAGCGCCCTTTTCCGGCCTTAAATTCCATGGTAAATATTCTTTCCTCTTTTCTCAGTGAGCACCCTTGTCTCATAAAATTAAATCGCTTTAGCCGTTCACCTACAGTAGGTTTATTGCATGCTTTCCCTGCCAGTTATAACATGAATGCTAACATTAACACTGAATGCAGTTGTAAGTGACAATTTTAACTGCTGTTGTGTTTTTTGTATTGTTATTTGACATTTTGCTGCTGTTGTTGATTGTATTGCATCAGTTTTTTGTAGTTCCGTTTGCGCGAAGCTTCTGAAGACTCTGAGCTGAAGCACGTACATGTACGTGCCTATGGCGCGTGTAAACTCAAATTCTCGCGCGTCCGCCGGCCACCCGCGCGCGGAAAATTCGATATCCGGCGCGACGCACCCTTGGGGGAGTGAAATATGAAAAGCTCGTTGGATAAATATCAAGAGATTTGATTTCGTGAACGCATCTCGCTTCACTTCGCCGCTCTATCAGCGCATGCAGCAGTAATGTACGTGCGACAAACCAACTCGCACGCAGCAAATATGGACAACTTTCAAAGAATATTGGGCAACGACGAGATAAGAATGACTTCAGAGAGATCATCTGCATCGAAGAAAGTAAGTCTTAATGAGCTGTTTTTTAATTATTAAAATCATGAGAATCTACAGGGTTTGCGGTAATAATGGCTGTCGGCTGTCTGATACGATTCTCTTTTCTTTTAATAGGGAATCTTGCTTCAGAATTTGGACGAAGGAAAACCCTGCCTTAAATGTGGAGAAAAATGCCCTGGATTTAGCTTGCACGTGTGGCGGTAAGCACGAACTCAAGGCTCATAAACCTTGTTTATTTTTTACTTCGTTTTAAGTAGTTCACCCGTCCGTGTTAAGCACGCAGTGCACAAGAATTAACAGTTAATGAAAAATAAATTTGAATCCCGTTGTTTAGAGTAAAAATTATTCTTTGTGTCTTTAATTAAAAGTGTACAATAGAACACGTCGAATCTCTTACGAGTTATTTCACTACCCACCTCGAAATAATCGTAGAGTAACAAGGCAACAAATATTTGTTTTCATTGCGTTTCTTGGTTAAATTCGAGCATTTTTCGCACAAGGGTGTGGGGATTAAAGGTTAGGCCCTCTTGAGCTAGAATCAGCGCCAGCTTTCGCTTATCAACTTGACAATGCTGCACTGGAAAATTTAACTTTAAGCCCGCGCTCTTGTGTATAAAAAAGTAATGTCTAATGTCCACGCTACAAGATTGTCATTGTAAATCTACGTGTCAAGTCTGGCAAAGCCTGAGGGTATTAGAACGCTTTCAGTTTTCATTCATTAATCGCTTCAGTAGTCAAACACAGAAGGTGCACTTCTCAAAGCCAGTTCTCGGTCGGTAAGAGCTGTTTCTCTGTTCAGTCTCCCGGTGATTCTTTCGTTCATTTTGGTCAGCTGATCGCGTGATTGACTCCGTTTAAGACAACATGGAGATTTTAAGCAGCGAACAGAAGACAAGAACTCCTACTAAACCACCGAGACCGAGCCGCAAACCGTAAGTATATTTCAATCTCGCGACTGAGTGGGCATCGATTGGAACAAACCTTTTAAGACACTACTCAATTAAGGGTTTATAGAGACTGATTGCGTTTGGCTTGCTCAAAAAGATTCATAGCACACCAAAGCGGCATAAGAAAATTCATTGAACATACGAACGCAATATGCTTTAAACCTGACTGCATGTTTGTTTATATCTTTCGTATTCAGAACATTTTTAGATCTTGAATTAACTCATTTTATTAAGTACACCAATACGGCGTTGTGTTATTTTTGAACTGCCGAGTATCGTGACACGCGTTTATCGCAGTTTCAGCTTTCCTCGTATGAAATAAACACAAGGTGCATGCACGCAAAGGCGAGAATTTTATTGTGAGCATTTTTTAATCTCTTGTTAAACATTCCAGTTCTGTTTTAGTGATTTCCAATTGTTTTGCGTGATTTTTTTTCGTCAATTACTCGTCTTCTGTTTATAGGGAAGAGCTTTGTATTAGACAGAAATTAGACATTCAAACTCCTTGTCAATTCCTACGTTTCATCGTTGAAGGTCTAAAGCAATTTCATTATCAGCAGACAGCATACAGGATGAGAACTGCGAATTACAGTCATCCAGCTCCCGCGGCAAATATAACATGTCGATTCTACGTAGTAAATGTTTTTATCCGTCTTTTTTATCGCTTAAAGAATAATTTCTTTAGACGCTGCACCACTTCTCTGTTAACAATGATCAGAGTGAAATTAAGATTTGCTATCTCCCTTTTTTTCAGTTTTGGATGGATGGTGTAATTTCAATTTTGAGCGAATTCCGAGTGTTCTCTTCTGTTCCCCAATGCCATCAAAAGAATGTCGAAAAGACTTAACTAATTTTGCCTGTTTCACCGAAAGTTTATACTAGAATAGCTGAAGTGTAATCAATTTTTAAAGGGAAGCATCACGTATCGAAAACAGAACAGAAAATTATCATGAGTTATTTTCTAACCTTATGGTTTGATACTCGATGCATCAAAAGGAAAACTGTTCATGTAGATTAGCGGTCACCCTTTGTTGTAATTGTTCCGCATGCGCGCGTCTTCAGAGCTGAGCCAAAGTAACTGACTGGCTGATTGATTGACAATGAGATCGAAGTTTAAAAATAGTACTGAGGTCAGTTTTTGGTTCGTAAGACTTGTCGTTGTCTTGATCTTGAATGAATTAACTTTATTTCCGCACTACAATTATATAGTGCGACTGGTTGCCTGATGGTTTCAAAGAGATAAGAGAGGGCAAGGAATGTCAGTTTATTTATAGTCAAGGACGCGCCGCGTCCGGCCTTTTACACACTATACACATGGCCGGCCGGCACTCCTTCCAGGCTCACTATTTTCGTCTCAAGCTGAAATAGGCAGGGTGCAAAAAATGCCCGGTGCTGGTGATTGTTAGTATTTTTGTTCGTCATATTCTTAAATCGATTTGAAATTAGCTGGTGACGAGTTGGTTTTCCAGCGTAGGAATGCTTTTCAACCTTTATCGGAACTTTCATATACGTCTTAAAATATGCCACTGAAGAAGTGCCTAATTAATGCAAGAGCTTAATTACTTTCGTTTAGATCAACTTGATGTTTCTCGCGTTTTCAATACGACATGTGCATTCTGCAGGTTATTAGTCGCTGGTGTAATCATATACAGACCAAAGAGTCCGAGTCTTGTGCTCACTGTTTGTTTATACACAAAGAAAAATCTCCTTCCTAGTATAACGCTAGACTCAACTTAACTCGGAAAGTACCCTTTTCGGTGTTTTGAAAAATTACTTTTCCGAAGTTTTGCGCAAGATGTGGATCGGCCATCCCGGCTTTGCTTTTTGGGGGATTCAAGGCTCATTAACATTTTAGATAAACCAATAAACTCCCGCTACAAATTGTTTGATCTGCAATTCTTATTCCACAGCAAAGTGTGTGCAAACTGTAAATGCCCAAGAGAGAATCATGATGTGTCGGTAGATGTTGATTTGGATGGAGTTGAATTCAAAATTAGAGGCCTAAACATCCAGTCCAACATTAACAAAGAGAACGATTTGCCTGCCCCGCCTTCCTCAAGGAGACAAAATTACAATGATTACTCTACAGTGAAGGTGACCAAGACCGAGAGCAGTCCTGTTGACAATGACTTCTTGCCCCCTCCTCCCCCACCCGCTTCATTGGCCTCAGATTACATTTGGTCCCCACCGGGACTAACCGCTGGACAGGTAAGGAAAGATGCAGGATATGAATTTTTACAGCAAGTCCAGAATCCAATAGCTGTTTTATTGCACATTCAAAGTGATTCTTACTTTAAGCCTGCTCACCGTATTTACTCGATTAAATGCCGCCTTTGTGCAAAAACGCGCCCTTAATCGAATAAATGCAGTTTCTCGATTGATGTTAAATTTCCGTCTTCATTAGCATTTTCCTCGGTAAATTTAGGATATAAAGGGATGTTCAAAAAGCAGTTGTAATCCGTTATAAATTGTATTTTCGATGTTCTTGCGATGTTTTAGGCAAAAAATCGGCTATTTCTTCTTACCAAAACGTGTGAAATTTTCTGCCATTTTCTGCAGCTCCAACAAAACAACTGAGTGAACGTAACCTCGTCCCTAGCGCTTCTCGGTTGCGTCCCTTGGTCTGTCGATAGCCTGTGACGTCATTCTATCGAATATCGTAAATTTGGTTAGCCCTAGCTGGCTATGAAGAATTAGTCTTGTTGTTAAACGAGGATATATGTTCTTTAACGAAGGCTAAAAAAAATTTCCGTCAAGTACAGTTGAACCTCCAGTAACGGCCACCTCTCCAACACTGCCACTTGTTTTGGCCCGGTGTACAGTCCATACATTGACTCTTACGTATTTAAAACCTCTCTACAACTGCCACTTTTTTTTGGCCCGGCGTACAGTCCATACATTGACTCTTATTAAAAACCTCTCTATAACGGCCACCTCTCCACAGCGGCAACGGCCACTAAAACGTGTCCCCAACTGTGTCCCCTTTACTGACTAATGAAAAAGTCAAGAATGGTCATGAAATTTGATTCGTATGGCGCGTTGATGATTAACCACCGCAATCGTATTTAAATTTTGTTTCATTTATACTGTCTCAGTAAGCATTAATTCTCTACGATATTTAAAGCGAAATGTTGCGAGCCTTTCTCGTTTTGTCAAGTTAACATTTTGATTCAAAACATAATTCAAGCTTTTTGCGTATTTTATCTCAACATATTTTTTATGATTGGATTATTATCATTATGGGAGAGAGTAAGCAAGAACTTAGCACAATAAACATGTTGTACTTCCTAAAAAAAATTGTCACATTACACCCATTCCTGTCCATAACGGCCCGGGCTACAACGGCCCTTTTTTTCTGTCCCCAAGGTGGCCGTTGTGGGGAGTTGGACTGTATTCAAATATTAGTTTTAAAAAAATGCATTTGTCTTTTGTAATGTTTATTACCGCATTTTGTTGTTTATTTACTTCTGTAAATGAAACTGCTATATAGAAAATCTTAGTATTCAACTTACAGCAATATAACTAATATTCAGTTAAAACTTAAGTCTGGTGAATTGTTTTGATGGTTTAGCAGGTATGAAATAGAAGTTTTGTCTTCGACTTTTTTCCTTAGGTAGAGGCTTACATGAAGTCTCTGCCGGATGATAAGATCCCGATTGCCGATTCTCCAGGAGAATCATATTATCGCACTCAGCAGTTATATCAAAACCCTCCACAAGACAAAGCACCTGTACATTTCTCAAATATCCCTGAGCCTCAGAGAGAAGCTTTTGTACAATTCTGGAACAGCGAGGATGACGCCCGCGGGACGGGAAAGGTCAAGATCCCGTTAGGAAGACGAGAGGTAACGTTGAACGCCCGCACGTTTTATATTTTGCAGGTTAATGGTCGAAAACGATAAACGTTACGATCTTTAAAGGTCGAGCCTTCTGACTACGAACTCCCACGAATGTATGCTAAGTTTGCGCATAACAGAGGTGTCTGCACCATAGCGACAGGAAATATATCAAGTTTAGTATCTTTGGGACCAAAAGAACTGTCCATATTAAGCAACGCCACTGAATCGCTTTTTCCAGAATTCGAGACTTCAGTTTTCTCAAGAACTGTTATTTTAGAATACAAAATCTTCTTCGCTTTGGTTCGTCTTTAAACACCCGTTCATGTGTTCTTTATTTTATAGTTGCTTTGTTTATTGTCAAAACCAGAGTAAACATGGCATGCGGCATATGCCAAAATAATCCCGGGCTTTATCCCACCTGACTGTTGATCCTCAGGAAACAAAAGATTACCGGCTTGGAGGATTATCCGACTGAAACTCAGAAAGATTACATCTGGCACTGATTAACACAATAAACTGAGTATGAGAGAATCTTAGCATACTTTATCCTCTCAAGAAATTTAAACTGAAAAATCTGGTGACAGTTTGCATGTAACTTCTCATTCGGGAAATCTGCTTTGTAGCCGCATATTTTGCGTAAATGATGTCTCAAACTACTGTAAATAAGATATTTTTAAAATTCGCCGAATCGTGTCATTAAAATGAGTCGCATTTTCTTTAGAAGTGCATTTAAACCAATGCGTTCTTGGTAACGATAGACATCAGTGTTGTACTTTAACTGGTTAAATGTAAAAACAGATTAAATATTTTTAGCGCATTTCTTTTTATTGCGTTATCGATGGCAACCAGATGCTTAAGTCCACCTCACAAGCTAAAGCTGAAAAGTTTCTTACATTAATCTCTCTCTAAAGGGAATACTAAACTTTTTAATACAGTATATCCTAACTTCTAACCCGCAAGGGGAATGGTCAAGAGTGTTAAAAACAGATGCAAGTTTCAAACCAACAAAAATGTCTACTTTGCCGGCAAACTGCCGCTCACATCCTTGTTACCGGCGAAAGTTCCATTATGTCAATTTTAGCCTATCAGGCACTCTTTCCGGCGTCATTAAAACGCGGACTTTTGGCGGAGACCGGGATCAGCATCTATTTTATTTTGTTTATGTCTTTTTTTTCGCGGCGAGTTGAATGTCTTATATTTTTTACCGGAAAAATAAGGAAAATATTCGAACACGCCAGAGAAAAGTAAAGGCTATTGTTCGAATGAGGATGCAAGTCATTATTTGAAAATGTTCTGATCTTCGAAACAGTCACCCCTCCAGGCAAACACTCAGACGGTACATTACCTGGTGAAAGAAGTATGCGATTCAATAGTACAGGTCATGTTTAGTTTAATTATTGATGACCTGGTGGTGTTGCCCTTAGTTGAGGATATCTAATGTTACTAACGTTAAAGAGTTTTTCTTTCCCTCTTTCTTCCTTTCTTCTTTTTTTTTTGTTTCCTTAGACCTGTCAGTCATGCTTCAAGACCATTCCAAAAGGTGACGTTGTAGTGTTGGCTGAGTTTGAGGATAATTCAGAGTCTTCAGCTTTTTATCATGCAGCATGCTTCTGTTGCTGTATCTGCTTGGAATGGTTGGTAGATTTAACATATTATCGTTACGGCAATAAAATCTATTGCGGGAGACATCACGCCGAGCTCTCAAAACAGCGCTGCTTTGGTTGTGATGAGGTAAGCAGTAATCCCACAAAGGGCATGAGACTAACAGTGATTGCTGTCTTCTCCAAATCAGCTCTTTAGAATGTTTGCACGGTAGGGAATGGACGACTGAAACCGTTTCTTGCTCATTCTTTATCGAAACAAACTGACTTTAGCTTACCAACATATTTACTGGATTTCTAGCTAGAGTTTTTCGTTTCTTCCTCAGCTGATCTTTACTGGGGAATACACCATCGCTATGAACAAAAGTTGGCACTTGGGACACTTCCGGTGTAATGAGTGCAACATCAGTATTACTGGCAAGCAGTTTATCGTCAAAGAGGAAAAGCCTGTATGCCTTGAATGTTTCGAGCAAAGGTGCGTCTGACCATTTTCCAATCTTGTTTGGTCACTAAAACTACAATCCTTGTCAAGGTGTGAGCTAAGAGTGTGAGTTTGTTTTACCATGACACCTTTGTTTTTCAACGTTCACCACATGGACTAAAGCAAGTCACGATCAAGATGGGGGGAATTTAATTTAATTATTTATATCAAAAAGGGAAGTGCTGACTTTGGAAATACGTCCTGTCGATAGTTTCACGGACTAATTAAATTGCATGTGCTTTCCCTTTTAAATAGTACAGAAAAAAGGAACTTCAACAAAGCAATTTTGATCGTGTTTTGCTTGGGTCCTTAATAACTTAACTGTTTGCCAATCTTAACGAATCTCACTTCCATGCGCTCTCGTCTAACGTAATACTAACAATACGTTGGTTGTCCTGTGATAGGATGTCGTAGTGAGTTGTACCCGCCATTCACAAGTGTCACGGCACTGACTCATTCTAACCGCAGTTTTTGTCACTCTCTTTGTTGATCATTTAACGCATAGGCCTGACAAGTCCCCTGCACATCTGATTTTGCCAGTTCACAGCGCCATAAATCGCCCTCAAATGTAAGTGAGGTTCGTTATTGGTGCTTTTTTACGAACATGAATTCACCAAAGTTATTTTTAGGTCAATTAAAAGCTTGAAATTAATAGGGAGTTGGTTTCCTGAGAGGCCTGCAAATTTTTATTCGGTGTTGTCAAGATAGAATAACGAGACAGTTGCGAATGGATTTGATGACGCTTAAAACGATGGTTTAAAATGTGCGGACGTTCAAGGAATAACATTTCCGTTTAATTACAACCTTTAAAAATAGGTTTAGTAAAATTCACATATCGCGGCCAACACCCTAAGATTTCCTTTCTGTCTCATTATTTTCTCTTGTTTACAGTTAAACTAAGTTGCTGATGTTGTGATATTGTTTGTAGATTCGCCAATGAGTGTGACCACTGCCATGGAAAGATTGGACCTGATGCTAAAGATGTATCAACTGCAGACAACCGCCATTGGCATGAAACGTGTTTTCTCTGCGACATATGTCGGAAACCTCTGCGGTCAGATGGAAAATTCACCTTCTACAAGGATCAGGTCCTTTGCAACGACTGCTATATCACCAACTTCCAGAAGACTTGCGAGGGATGTCGATACGCGATTGAGTCAGGGAGCGCACGCCTCGAATACAATGGAACGTACTGGCATGAGGAGTGCTTCAAATGCGCCGTTTGTAAGGAGGCAATTGGGACCAGCGGTTTTGTGCCAAAAGATGGTGAATTTTACTGCCCCAACTGTTATCAGAATTTGCATGCCAAGCGCTGTGCGGAGTGCGGCGAGCCGTTGTCCGAAGGTGGCGTTCTTTACAACGAACAAACGTGGCACAAAGAGTGTTTCAGTTGTTACAGTTGCCATGAGTCTCTAGCGTCTCGTCCCTTTTCCGTACACAACGGTGTGCGCTATTGTATTGAATGTTATGGAAGATTTCTGGCCAAACAGTGCGAGCTGTGCTTCAAGCCAATTATCGGAGGGGAATACTTTACGTTAGAAGATTCCAATTTCCACAAAGAGTGCTTTAACTGTAGCCGGTGTCAGCGGTCATTGGCCAACGAAGGTTTCGCCCGCGAAGGAGTGGAATTGCTATGTGCCAGCTGTGCTGAATAAACCGATGACCGTTGGACCACACGCCGCAGTAATGATCAGTTGACGCCATGAAGTTGAAGACAGTCTAATGACGTCTTTGTAATTTTCTATTTAGAGAAAAGAAAGTCCCTTTTCATGGTACAAAAGACAAACTTATCAGTGCAAAGTTTAAAGTATTGCTCGTAGCAAAACAAGAGAAAAGACTAGAAGACAGTACACATAAAGTCAAAAACTGGTCAGAGGAATGATTTTTAGTTATTATTTTAAACGTTTTCTGTTTTTGAGTATTCATTTTCGAAAGAGTTTGGTTGTGAAAACTCTAAATTAAAATTGTTGCGATGTGGCGATATCTGCTAATGTGGCTTTAATGATTGACTCTAGAGGGTTAACCCAAACCCGCTGGTTGAATGATTTTGTAACTCTTTCCTTTGGCAAGTGTTATCAAGTTTCTAATTAAGTCATCCCAGGAAGTGCGTTTGGAGTAAATAAGATTATTAAACAAACGATTGACCATGGTGATTAAAAATGATTTTATAACAAAATCAAAAATCGCCTTGTCCATAGTCAAAATTGTATTACATTATATCATATTAACATATTATTAAATGATCGAAGGTTGAAGTGAGAGTTTTTAAAGACCTCAAGTCGGCGGTTTAAGTCACATATAAGCCTGTTATTCAAATGATCCTTCGAACACAACACTCCATACAACGCTCTTGTAACCTCTGTCTAGCTGTCTAGATATGGATAACATTTGAAAAATTTTGTCGCAAAATACGTTGGTTATGTATAAAAAAAAAACACGAAAAAAATAGTTCTTATATCATCGATTAAGGCCGCTACAAAACCCTAACCCTTGGACCAAAATCTGAGTTTTGAAATCTAAAGAATTTTCTCTTCTTCATGGCAGTAAAAATCCACTATGATAATATAAAAGAAAAAACAGAATAATATTTGCTCTCGTCTTGACATGAGCACGTGTTCAGCTATCTTTTCTTACCAGAAAACCAGCCCCATCTCTTGAGATCGAAAATAAAAAAAAATGTCGAACCGTAACTGAGAGACGCCACTGATTCAAATTCTAATCCAAAAAAAAAAACCGTTGATCGAAATTATTAAACAATGTTGCGATGCCTCGCAGCGGTAATTTTATCAATATCCCTATAGCATACTTGTTTCGACTTTTCAGTTAGAAAGGAGACCAGCTACGAAGTAATCATTTTACGGAAGAAGATCTGAACCCAGCCTTGTGTTGACATGTCAGTTTTGGAAAGTGAATAGAATTAAAGTGAATTCCCTTGCGAAACCTACGTGTAAAAGTTTGTAGTATTTAATCACTGTACATTTTCTCTGCAACAGTTTGCGCTGAAGGTATCATTCATTTGAATTCATAACTGAGAATTCACAAGTTAGGTATAACTGATGTCAGAATTCTTCTCCGTTACTTTAGAACTACTGTGCCACGTCTATACGTCACTGGCAAATCAAATTATTAGTCATTTTGGGCCTAGATACGCAGAAGATGACATTCAGGAAACCTTTCAAGAACGGGACGACTTCGTGTCGCACGACCAAAAAGATACAATTATTGAAGAGTACGAGAACCCACGAAAATTTATCGATCCTTCTGCCTGGAGAAGAAATATGCCAACATGGAAAGTTTCGCTGAAAAATAGTACCTACTTTGTGTTTATGTTTACATTCGTTGTTGGCGGTTTGATTGGGTTAGCGTCCTTTTTGCTGACGTGGTATATTATAAGCATTGTCTATGCCTGTGATTGGAAGTCACTTGCCGATCCTACATACCCTCTGCATCTTAAGAGGAGACGCATAATTGGTCAATCTTACCAGTCTTTCATTCTTTACTTTTGGCAGCCCGCATTGATGTGCATGGTTTTCAAGTGGCAAGTTCTTAAAGATGTCAATCTATTGACCTGCACTCTTGCTGGAGCGTCTCTTGATCTTGGGTACAGGTTTTTCCTTGGCTTGTTTGATATGTATTATCCTCCATGGGTACCATATCCACTAAATGTAGTTTATATAGTTGTAGTTATAATGACAACTCTGTCTATTAGCAAAAAAATTATTCAAAACAGGAGCCGAATTCAGGCCACTATTGTGTTGGCTTTCAAACTCAGTTCTCAGTTCATCACTGGAGCAATTGTTTTGTATATTATCTGGTACGCCTTTATATCAAGCTTTGCCCAGAAGGAAGGCTTTATGAAATTACTTTATCTTGTTTTACTGTTTCCAATAGCCTTATTTCCAAAAGTGATATCACGGCAATGTGTCCTTCGTTTAGATCATGTCAATCATCCGGGAACTTCTTACGTTCTGGTATCCACTGCATGCGGAAGTGCCATTATAGTGTACACTATTGCTACAGGCAGAGTTTAAAAGTCTTTTGGCTTTTACTGCACTAAGCATTGGTTACGGTGTCAGTCATTTAGCTTACGAATTGATCATCTTATTACGAGAACACAAAAAGGAGAAACGCTGGAAAACTTTGTACTTGGAGTCAGAATCAAACTCTCCAGGACACTCTGCCACCTGTCACACATCACCTCGTGCTAAGAGGCTAGATGCTGACCTAACAATACAGGAAATGATCTTCAGTTGCATTTCTCTCGTGTTGTCAGTGGGAATAATTTTTGTTTATGGCTTCACTCATTGCAGCGTGAGTATTGAACAGTTTCAGCAAATGACCCTTAAAGAATTGGCAGCAAAAATATTGTTGGGGCTGTTTATTGAATTTGTATTTAATACCCTTACTGTAATATTGTTAACTCGAGGAAGGAATATTCCTGTTCTAAGGGTGTGAAATTGTAAATGGAAGTCACATTTGATTGTTTGCGTTATTACTGTAACTATGATCGTTACTTATAGCATGGATAAATTACTGGAACTTGTTCGAGCGCAATACGTGGTCAAGAACTCGGGTAAAGAGTTATTGGTATGTCCTTCAAGATATTGTGAATGATATATGCCAGCTGAATTGAAGCATGGTAACAATTATCTGTCTAATCAGTCTAATTAAATATTTGCATGGAATTGTGCGGTAAAATTACTGTTTAGCTACTGTTTATTATCAGCACTAAATAGGCTGGGGATATGCATTATAAACATGATATATATTACCTTATATGGCGGCTTAACTGGCCATGGAACATTGTTTAATCCTAAAGAGGACTGAGAGACCTGTTTGAGTTAATTTCCATTTTGTAATGAATTTTCATTTTAATTTTCATTCCTTTTCAAAAATTGCTTAGGCGACGAGAAAGGCTGAAGGAGCCACATCGATAGATTACGCTCTCTCACTCTTGTTGAGGTTATTCTCGGCAATTGGTAAATCCGGCACGGGAAAAGGAAATCCCCACAACATTAGGTCAATCCTTAAAATACAACTTGTTTAGGTCTCCTTTTTGCCGGCAATAAATGTATTGATGACTGACTGAAGAAACTGTTTTCTTTTTTCTTTTTTTTTTTTTTTAACTTTAAAGTCGGCTCATGAGACATAAGGCGGCGCTACTGATCTGCTTTCAGATTCCAATAGCTGCTCATGACCCAGGCACCTAAACGCCATAACTTCTCCGAGTTTGAGCTATCATTGGAAATGGGAATATGGGGATTTTAGTTTTCTTCCCGCTTCAGCGATCCGGATTTATTGTCTGCATAATTCAAGTTTATCAGACTACTGTCTTGTTTCCTATGACGAAGTCAATATACTTCTAAATGTTCCATAAGGCTTCATGAAAAACGAACGTGTCTAATATAATTCAAAGCGACACAAATGAACACTCATGAACAGGAACAAAATTTGACAAAAATGACAGGATAAACTGTTTCAAAATCTTCTAAATTGCAGTCTGTTTTAATCTTATTTAACTTTTTCAAAAATTTTTCCTTCTTTGGTCAATTTCAATTTCAAAGGTCAATTTTCATCAGTTCACTTAGTTTGATGGCCAGTTTTCCTATAATGACTGAATTTGGCTACTTCGCAGAGAGTTTTTGTATTTTTTTTCTCTCTCCTAGTTGATGAACCAAGCAATCAACATTGGGAAAAGTCACTTCGAAACTATAACAAATGGCAGCACCGAAGACTTTGTCGCAAGTGTTCTTCAATCACCTTACCAAACTGAGTATCCAAGGAAACAGAAGATCTTGCGGAAAGCTCGAGAAGACGCCAAGAATGCAACTTTATGTATCGTTTAATCCCGCTGATAACACCACCGTCGCTGCGGCTATAACTGCGATGGAAAATAGTATTCGCGATGTTCGTGCATAGATGAGAAAAAAAAAATTTAACCAAACGTTTAAAAGAATCAATGTTATTACCTTCCCTTACTGGCAAACATAGAACTGGGGCCGTTTACATAAACGATCGATCCCCCAAAGTCTTTTTCGTTCTGAACCGCGGACTTTCTAGCAATATGCCATTATTATTTCGACGCAATTTTACATTATTGAATTGAATTCTTATTATAGCTCGGAGCACGAAACTTTACTGGTAACCAGTGAAGTTCTCTAAGCTGAGAGGTAATGTGGCAATACTATTAAGGTGCGCCCTGAGGCAAGTAAAGTAACCGTACGTGCGCTTGCATTCATGACCCTTTAAAGTTTTAGTCAGGGAGCAAGTGTCGTAAAATTAAGTCCCGTGGGAAATTAATGCTTAAAGCAAGCCACTAGTCTAGATATGTTGAGGGGACCTTAGTGAACATGAAAAATGTTGTCGGCAACTTTGTGACCCGCACCGGCACGATTCGCGGGGGATTAAAACACGTCTCATACAATATCAGCATGGAAACGAGGCTACATCTTAAATCGTCTTTATTCCCTCTTATATGTCAATATTTCATCACCAAATTGTTAGAATAGCTTTACTCTTGCATTACACACACTTTTAGCTGGAAATTGTGATCACGTGACCTAAAGCATGAAAACGAGGCTAAATCCAAAATGTGCCCTTTTTTCGTAAATTGTTTCAAAATATCACTACAAAAGTAAGTTATAATGAAGAAGAAACATTTCATAGACTTTCTCACGTCAAAGACTGAAACCTTGTACTACTTTATCACTTGATTAAAGACATGAAAAAGAGGCTATATCTCCTATCATCATTGATTTAAAAATTACATTTTTCATAAACTCAGTTTTTCTTGTGTTGTGTTCTAAAACAATATAATAAAATGAAGCCATATGAAATAATAACTATTTTCTAAGCTTATTGGCTCTTAAACTAAGAATTTGATGAAATAATAACCACAAGCTTGAAAACGAGGCTCTCGTGGTCAGCGGTTTTTTGCAGCAAAATACAGGTCCGCCATTTTAACTTGCAGTTGAAATAGAGAAGACCGATGGTCTTTTCGTTTTGAGTTTTTGATGGATATCGACCCTGATCCTGACCCTGACAAAGAACAAAAAGCAGATCTAAGTTTATGTATTATATGTCAAGAAAAAATGATGAAGATCTAGTTGAAAAGCCGAATTCACATGAAAAAACATTGGAGTCGATAAAGGAGTGGGCCACGTATGGTGAACGAAAGTATGTAAGAAGTCGTGACAAGCTATCCTTCTACTCTCTGGAGGATCTAAAGGAAAAATCATCATGGCACGGAAGTTGCTATAAGAATACAGTACATTCTGGGATGCTGAAAAGAGCCAAAGAGCGTTATGAAAGGCATTTAGAAGGCCCAAACGAGATGAGAAGAAAGTCATCTATAACAGTGGAAGACAGTCAACAAATAACACGATCAAAAACTATTCCATATGATAAAAATGTTTGCTTCTTTTGTGAGGGTGATGCTGGGTATAGACAAAGTCTCCACAGTGTATTGACATCTTCAGCTGGCGAATCTCTTCGTGCTGCAATTGAAATGTCTTCAAATGATAAACTTCGATTAAAGTTAAGCTCTGCAATCGACCCTAGTGATGCCCATGCTATTGATATTAAATATCATGGAAAGTGTTGGGTTAATCATGTAACAAGTGTGCTACGTCGAGGGAAATCTCAAGCACCTGCAGTATCTACCGATCAACCAGTTAGTCGTAGAGCAAGTAAAGCCGCAGCTCAGATCGAGTTTCTAACCATGGTTGAAAATACATTGAGAAATGGAACAATTTTGACAATGTCAAAACTTCAGGAAGGATATGAAAGCATTTTAGAGGCAAATAACGTCGAAAACCCAACATGCACAAGAAAGGTACTTAAACAGCTCATCCAGAATGAAATACAAGGTGCCGAGTTCCACAGACCCAAAAGAGTCAACGAGTCCGAAAGAGTCACCATCAAGAGTACACGTGATTTTGCAATCCAGCAGTCAGAGAGTAGTATTGATGTTAGTGACCAGGAAATGAAAACTCTATTTGAGGCTGCGAAATTCCTTAGAAGATCCATCAGTCAGTGCAAAAACTGGGTCTTTACTGGATCATTTCAAGATTTAAACAGCAACCATCTACCACAGGAGCTTTACTCATTTTGTGGATGGCTGATAAGTGGGCCAAGCACTGACATCAACGCTAGTAACAAGTCAAACGAAATTCACAAGCGAGCAATGAGCTTGGCACAGACTGCAGTAAGTATGTTCCTGACTGACAGACAAAAAAGCAACACCAAGTCTAAAGTAATCAAATCTTCTAGGGACATGCCTCAACAACTGGCTGTTGGCTTGGCTCTACGACAATCTGTCAGAAGCAAAGAGATCGTAAATATGCTTCATGGTTTTGGAATGAGTGTTGAGTACAACAGGTTACTTAGAATTGAAGCCCAAATAGAGCAAAGTGTTCTTGAGCGCATGAATCAACATGGCGGAATGTACCTCCCCGAGAACTTTGTGAAAAATAGACATGTATTTTTCGCAATCGACAACGTTGATTTTGCAGAGGATACTTATGATGGAAAACACGGCACCGCAATGGCTATCTACCAGAAGACGGATCCTAGAGACACAACTCCACAGATAAGGTTAGTTAACAAGCCTTTTAAAATATCCTAGATATTGGTTGATCATTTTTACATTTTTTGTTACTATTTACAGCTCCTTAATATCTCATTGATTTAATTTCTGTTTTACCGCCATCCCTTCACGATTTACGGCGAAATAACAAGGGAATTCTTCTGAGCACCCCAAAGCGTTTCACAAAAGTTACCATGGGGGATCGATCCTTCATGGCGGCAGCGCCACGGCTTTGGAAGATTCTTCCCGTAAGCTTTAGACCTGCTTGCACCAATAGTGATTTTCAACAGAAACTTAAGACATTTTTATTCAGCAAGGCATTGTGTTAGTACAGTTAGTTTATATTTAGATTTTTATATAGTTTTTCAGCAAATTACTTTTCTTATAACCAGTTGTAAAGTAGTGTAGTTTTCGTCTTTGATTCCATACTGATTGTAAAAAGGTTCTTATTTTTGTATTTTTTCTAATGTTTGTAATGCGCATTTGATTATTTTTATAGAAAATGAGTAATATAAATGTTATCATTACTTTGTCTCGCTGTTGGATTGGATAGTCAACCGAGTCAAGGTCGCACATTACGCAACCTTCCCGAATCAATTCCTGAGCTAATGGAATGCCAAGAACCTCCCAAAACACCCAAGAATCCAGTATACCCCAACGTCAGGCTGTATGATAAAGATGAGTTACCTATTGTTGTTAGACGAAAAGAGTTTGCATGGATGCTAGGGCGCAGCTTATCGAGCCTCTCGCAGCAGGAAACACAAGAACCTGAGGAGTTATGTAATGCAACGCAAGTTCCTGTTTGGTCTGCATATAATTCCCTTATATATGCCCCTCTGGATACCACAAGACATGCAACACCACCTCTCATTGCGGCCCCGGCACATGAATGGAGTACGTTACTAACAGTGTTAAAGCAGACACAAAACATCAACACGTTAGTGGTTGGAGCTGATAGAAAGACCGTGGTGACACTTGATTTAGGCCTTTATCAACCAGCAAAAAGACTTCAGATGGCAAGAAATGATATGGATCATTTAATACTTCGCCCAGGTGCGATAACTAGTATTTTACTAGATTTACTGGCTTTGTATTCAAACTGATATTTTTTGCACTTATTATTTTCAGGAGAACTCGATATTGTTATGGCACAGTTAAGAACAATTGGAAGCTACATTGACAACAGTGGTGTGGATATGTGCTGGGTTGAGTCCGACTTATTTGGCTCCTCCACAGTGAAGCAGATAATAGAAGGCAAGCATGTACGAAGAGGACAAACAGCAC